TAGCTTAGCAACATTTTGGCAAATATAGCTCTTCCCTCAATTTCTGGCAGCTCTCCAAACAACAGAGTTCCTAGTAAGCTGCAGTGGGGTTGTGCAACACTTCATAACAGCGTAACAAACACAATCAAAATAAACAAGCTTGAGAGACCACCCCATCCCATCCTCGGAGCTCGTCTTTAACCTGTGTGGTCTGCTCCCATTTATAACTCCCACTGCAGAGAAAACGTCAAAGTCAGTTTCATACGGTGAATCGCCATCAACCCTCGGACCCCTAGCTTGAACAGCAAGAAGAGACCCTTAGCGTCTCTCCTCCTGTGTCCTCCACTGCAACAGCTGCAGCATGGCGAGAGACTGGCCCAGCCAGGCCTGCGGTAGTCAGTCTGAGCACAGACGTGAAGACTAACCTGCACTGGAAGCCTGTGGAAGGGGCAGTAGCCAGCCAGCTCCCCTCCACCCTTAGTGCTTGTGTTCTGAGTGAACCATCTCCCTTCTTTCCCAGGACGTAAATCACCTCATGCTGCTGCCTCCCCACATGAACAAGCCCAGCAGGAAGAGTTTCAGGAAAGCCGGTCCCCTCTCCTAGCGGAATCGGGGGGCCCCCCCACAAGCAGAAGAGGATCGGACGGGTTCTGTCTGGAATACAGGCCTAGCTGCCACACACACACACACGTCCTCCGAGAAGCTATTTTACTGTGGCAGTCAACCACACGAGGATCTCCCGTCTGCAACAAGCAAAGACATCGGACTATTTAACACCCGTCGATGCAGGTGCTCCCACAAGCACGACTGGCAGGGCTCCTACTCGCTTCTACCAGCAAAATGCCAAAGCTTTTCCCTAACTTCTCTTCCTGCATCATTTACATCTTGCACGTCCTGGGTCTTCATCCGTTCGGAGCGATAGCTTGTGTTTTTCACCTGCTAACCAGAGGTCACTGAAAACACATTCACCTGCCATTCTGAAATGGGCGCGAGGCGAGCTCATGGCTCACTATAACATTCCCGCGAGAGGGACTGACGCGGTGTACTGTTGCCAACGGCCTCTTTTTAAAAGTTTGCTAGCAAAATCATATGATACAGCCCTGATCATCTTGGGTCAACTCAAAAAAAAATCCCATGACTTTTCCCCAAAACATAATGGATATTTTTTTTATCATTTTTCAAAACTTTTCCAGGTCTGGAAAATGAAATTTCACTTTCCATACCTCTTCCAGGATTTCCATGACAGTGGGCACCCTGTACCGAGGTAAAAAGAGCGCTATGTTTTCAGCATGAAGGCATTAACTGTGCCTATTACACGCACCCGAGCTTTTCACAGGCTTACACAGGTGTACACTTACCACAAAAAAAGGTTACTAAAATGCAGCCTTTCTAGGCTTTAAATCAAAGCTTTCCAAGATGCAGAAATCATCTCTCCTGCAGTTCACCTGATTATGTCCCATCCAATACACAGGGGATCTTTCTAGTGGCAGTTAGCACTGAAATACAAATCTGTGCTATTCCATTACCTTGCTGTCCAGTGAGCTCACAGGCACGCTACACTCCCTACACGTGTTAGACATGGTAGGAGTGAGCCAGTCGCTCCAGCCCAGCAGGCCAAATGCAAGACTAAGGAGAAGGTAGAAATGAGAACAACCACCCCACGCTTGCGCTGAAAGCGACCCTAGTCTGTCCACCACAAGCAGCTTTAAAGGAGCGAGAGAGGGCCTGTGGTGTCTTTGGAAAACAATGTGCGATCTATGGTGATAATCTGACTGATCTTGTGCTGTGACGGTGCCAGAACTGTTCTCTTTTTGAAAACAAAAAGAGGCAACGCTCCAGTAAAACCCCATGTGATCGATTCTCCCCGCTGTTCGCGTGGCGCAGTGGGACCCTCTCCACGCCGCGGTTCAGGAGTGGTGGTGCTGATGCACACGAACTCAACGTCTGCCCTCACGCCAACTTGCTGTTTTTTTTAAAAAAAAAAACTACACGAAGCGTAGCGTTCTCGGCCTTCCCGCTTCGCCACCATCCCCATTACGCGTCGGTTTGGCTTTTGCGAGCGACTTAAGGCGACTCCGCAACATGTTGCTGGGATTTGCCAAGAAGCGTGGAAGAGCTCGCTCCGCCTCGCGTGGCGCTTCCCCGGCTGCCGGAGCTCTCGGGCACGCGAGATCTCCACAAACTGCACGAGCAGCAGTTCTTCCGCCTCAACACGTTCCTTCTCCTGGTCGGCTAAACGCTTATTTAAAACAGATTAATCGCCCCCCAAATACCAAAAGTGTCCACATACACACACACACACACGGCTTCCTATGAATGATATATGTGTACATACAGCTCAAAAGCATGGCCACTATTAATAAGAGCACAACCAGCCTCACGAAAACGGGTACACGGGCAAATATCCCGAGGAAAATGAAGATGCTATACGAGGGAAGAGGGTAACTGAGACCCGTGGTATTTCATTATCGACTACAACAACCTTCCCAAAAATAAAAAAGTATGTGCTACCAATTTTGGACAAAAACGTAAACTGGGTCAGTTCTCCAAGTTAACTAAAAAACCATCTTAAAGCATTGAGGTGCATCTGTAACTCGCGGCTTTATTTTAAACATTTTTCATTTACTGTTCCGTTTTCCTATTTTACGTGAAAAACGAAAATGACTGGGCACCCCGTCTCCGGGCGGGCGGCTGTCAAGTCCTCTCTGCTGCCGACAGAGGAGACGGGTCTCCGGCGCGGCCTTGCACGGAAGGACACCGTCCCAGGACACTAAAAACACGACACTGGTTTGATCGGATCTTTGGAAGATTCGTCTTTGCGGGTATTTTGCTGCATTTTTGTTGAACACCGGCTCTCCGATTGTAGGCCCCCCCCGCCGCCGCCGCCGCCTCCGGAACAGCAGAGAGCAACAGGGCCCACAGACTCAAGGAGAGCGATCCGGGGTCTCAGTAAAATACTACGCTGGCGCCCACTTTCACCACACAAAACGAGAAAATCAATCCCCTGAACTTCCCGGGGGTGCCACGACGGCACCGACAGCTGTAGAAAGTCATGGTTTGAGAGCCCGGTGCTGGGATTTTCGCTACCAACATGGCGGACAGGAAATAGCAGCCGAGTAAACTGAGGAAAAGCACATTCCAGCGGAGCCGGCTTGTGTTGGTAAGGGGGGAGACGAGCACTCAAAACCCCGCGATTTTCTCAATTAAAACTGGCCCTTTCGCACGACCCACCCCGAGACAGTTCGAGAAAAGAGTCTTTTACTGTAAACCAGCGTGCCAGGCGGCGTCCGCCCTCCTTAGATACGTCTAAAAAAAGTGACCAGGAATCGCTGCTAACCGGCAGCACAAGGTCAATCTCCATATTACAGACAGCTACCCTCCGCCGTCTCACAGTGGAGACTCACGCACCCAACTTCCAGCTCAAATAATTCCCCATCTTCAGCTGTTTCTGGCCTTAGCTAAGCAAACCCGACCTGTTTTCTTCGCCTGCGTTTCCTGGTGGTGGTGCTGGCAGTGGCTCGGCTCATTTTTCAGCGTTTTCCTGGGCCGGGTCGGGCTCCTCTCTCCTCCATGGTGGTAGCGCTGCTGAGGTGCCCGCACGCTGGGCTGTTCCTCCATTGAAGTGTAGCAGGAGACTCCCCGGCTCCGGCCAGTGCGCACTGCTCACCGGGCTCACCGAGCGAGAGAGAGTGGGGGGGGTGGGGTGGGGGTGCAGGACCGCGGCCCTACCCAATCGACGCCGCGACCCCAGCGCTGCCTCGCTTGGTCTCTGCTGCTGCCGCTCCGGCGAGAGGCTGGACCGAGAGGATCAACGTCAGCAGTCAGCCGGTGGAAGTAGCGCCGTCGGCACCGCTCTCCTCTCACACCAGGCGAACCGTGCGTGTAGCGTGTGCAGGCACGGGCTCTTTCGCTTTGACGTTCCTCGCCGGTCTCACGGTCTTCCCCGCCGAACATGCATACTGTACATGCTTTTAAATAAAATAAATACCCCTTCGTCTCGGTCTTGGAGTGCTCGGTGGCGGAGTCATATTAACATTTTTTTTTTACTTCGATACTTAGTCATACACGCAGGTAGCAGTTAAATACCTTGATAGAGAGGGGGTGCATTATGTACCCAGCCCGCATTCCTGCATTTCACCCAATTTTAGGTGTAAAGTTTAATTGCCTGAACCCCCCCTCCCTCCTCCTCTCTCTCTGTCTCTCCACCCCCTTGTAGCGAGTTTTCCAGAACGTTACTTCAGCCTGTTACACGGTAACCCATTTTTAAACTTCTCGTCGTCACGTGTATATGACTCAAGGGACCCAGGCTGTCTCGGCGTCTTCTTATAGACCGGCTTACAACTCACTTACTGGCCCAGCACCTTCGGAAACGTGTTTTTACTGTACGGTATTCACAAAGACCCGGCACCTTCTGACCCGGTCTCTCGTCACATGAGCGTGACGCTCACGCTGGGCAACCTCTCCCCCAAACACAGTCCTGAAAAACAAGTGTTTCAGCGTGCATGCATCTATACTTATTACCCATACGTGCGATTCTAAATGTTATGTTCTTGTATATTAATCAGTCTCCAACCTATAGCACTTAAGGACTATTGTGACAAGGTGACCGAAGTTAAAATATAGGCTAATTGTCATAGCGCAGAGAAGAGATGCTGGTTTTTGTTTTTTAGAAAGGTTGGTTTTCCTCCACGAAAAGAGATCACTCGGGTGTCATTAAGCACGTGTGGCTGACTAAGCGAATACCGGCAGTTCCTTCGAAATCAGGTGGTTTGCTAATAACACGCAGAGGGGTCGCAATCATCCCTCTATTAATGCTTTTAAGGTAGAATTCCTCTTTTAAATCTTTAAAAACAAAACAGCTCCTCCTCTCCTCTTGTGACGTATATGAACAATCTTAGATTCAAACACCACCCAGGTGCTGTAAGACGCCGCGAATTGTAAGCAAGTAACTACGCGAAAGTGCTTTGCTTTATTTAAAGAGCAATAAGATGCATGTTTCAGCAAAAAAAAAAACATTTCAGTTCAGCATTTTTAAACATCCTTTTAAAAAAATGACGCTACCCCCAATTCTGAATAGGGCGCAGAATGAGATTACTGAAGGCAATCTTCAAGTAGAATAAAGGATTATAGGAACAAGTAATAGGTTTATTCCATGCTGAAAAAAGGAAGAAAGAAAACGTTTCGGCCGTGGAGCCTTCTTCAGAATTGGGGGTAGCGTCATTTTTTGATACCAGATTATATACCAGTAAAATGTGATGAATGAAGCGGCAGTTTAAGGGTCCTTCTGCAGTTCCAGTAAGAGAAAGTTTATATTACACGTGTATAAATGTAATGAGTATACACATTTTTAAACAACATTTTTGCCTTAGTTAATGTTTTTTCCCGAATACGCCCCGGTCCGGCGGTATCACATTAGCAGTAGCCCTTATGAATAAACCTATTACTTGGCCCTTATGAACCGATGATCCAATAATCATATTTAAAAGGCACGATTATATAGAGCGAACAGTTTAATAACAGTTCAAGTGCTCAGGGCTATGGTAAAGAAGCCGCTGAAGAGCGCCAGGAAGGTATAGGGATACCGAGGACGACGATCCTGCAGAAGCAGTTGCAGCTCTAGTCCGGTCCGCCGGAACAGCTATTTGTAGAGACATCTAAGACGCCACCACCCACACACCCCTTCCCATTATAACCAGGCCCGCACCTGCTGCTTGTCACACACAATCAGGACTGGGGTCGTCAGGCTCGGGGAATGCCGGGCTGGGGCACCAGCTTAATGAAAGATCCCTCGTTCTGCCGGAACAAACTCTTCGGCGTGCTCAATGGGAGGCGGGGGCGCGTCCCGTGAATGTAGGGTGAATTTTAGAAGGGGCGCCCCTTTTGTGAAGTCCGACACCCAGTTACACAGAGCTGCGCTTCCAAACGGCAGGAGACGCTCTTGTGAAATAACGGCATTCATAGGCAGGGCCACCATTTAGAGAGACATCCACGCTTTATTTAAATGTGGGTCTTGCCTGCCTATATTGTTAGTACATTATAGCTAGGTTCAATCGCAAGGATGCGATTTTCAAAACATAAGCAGGTCAAAGACATGCTAAGAAAACTAATGGTAGCAGCCGAAAACGGCGCTGTGTCACGCCACGAGTCACCCTTCACTGAGTTCATACTGGGTGAGCTGCACAGGCGTTTTGAGGAAACAAACAGAGCGCATTTTCCATGGCGAGGGGACAATCGTGATTCACACAGAACATCCTGGAATACAGGACGTATTGGCTGTTTGCTTTTCAAAACCCTTCTGCACAATCTCCATGCTCCGCGGCGCCCGCATTCCTCACACACAGAGTACGGTCTCACCTGCACATGAATCACCGCTGCACCTGTCCCCTGCGGTCCAACAGCTCTGCTGCCCTCTACTGCCTCCTAGAGGCTGTAATACGAAGATTTTTATAGATATCAGAATGAGAAAATAATCATCATCATCATCAGTATCATCATCATCATTGCTTACACTTATATAGCGCTTTACAGGTAATGAGGATCCCCTCCACCACCACCAGTGTGCAGCCCCACCCGGTATCACCTGACTTAGTTCAACTTAACTTTGCACCACAGTAGGTCACTTTAGCGTATATTCACTTGCTAAAACATTTTGTGTGTGCACGAAATTTCGAATGAAGTTTCCTTGTATCTGTCTGATACAGTTAAACTCGGGAAAACATCACACGCTCTATATTATAACCACCAGAAATGACAGGTTAATTGCTTTTAATAATAAAAACAACCCAACCCAGGGATAAGCTCCAGCAGCTGCAACCTTTCCCAGGAATAATAATTGATTTCAGATTTTAGAAGGACGGATGGAAAAACCGCTGCATGACTGAAAGACTCCCCCTGCTGGCCAAGGTTGTAACTGCGCTTCCTGGCGGCCCCCCTCGCTTCTACGGAAACTGCTGACGTGCCGCCTTCCTGGCGGTTTCACAACCCTGGTGACTGTAGAAGAAGCTGATTTCGCCTGTAATTAAAGAAGAGGAACAAAAAAACCATAAACAAAATAAAAAGGACGTAAAAATTAGGCTCATGTATAAATCACAACCATCTAACATAATTTTTGAAAAAAAAAGTAATTCTGGCATTCACACAACAAATTCAGATCCTGGCCTCCTCGCAGGACACTGCTGTGTTTTTGCAGTCTCCCTTTCTGAGCTTGGCGTTTTGCTGCATACAAACTTACTTCCTCTCAGCCCTCAGGGACCACAGTGCCCTGAATCTATAATTCAATGCACTGAATAAATGTGAAGAAATTCTGTTTTGGAGTCGTTTGCTCCACACAAGAAAGGGGTGACTTTTTTTTCTTTGATTTGTTCATCACCGAACTTTTCTTCAAGCACTGCAGCTTTCCATAACAGCTTGCAAACTGCACAAAGTCATTTCCATCTCACAGAGGGTCACAATTCGCTACACAGGTGCTTGAATTTAGGAAAGACGACAGTATAGACAGACATTTGTGTAAGAGTCGCAGGGCATGAGAGGGAGGTCAGCTTTACCTCTGTTCTCCTCACCCTACAGCATCTTCTCGAAAGTTAGAATGAAAAGAGAGAATCTGAGGTCACCATATCACCCTGCAACGCACAGCTGGCAGCCCACTGAAGCTCACTGCTCAATGTTGCTCGCAAATGATATTGCTTCTTTTGTACTTCAACTCTTTCTCACCCATTTTCCGTCATTTGTTAATCGTTTAACCTTTGTAGGAAACAGGGTCCAAGGGACAGGAAGTTAACTGTCCACTGGGAAGCGCTCTGAGTATCAGATTCCTGAAGATCCACCTTGCACATCCCTGACTTCAGTCACACAAATATTCCAGTGATCGATGGAACTCTAAGAGTAATCCTAGCAAAACCCAGCAACTACCCCAGTTCCAAACACTGTCTGAACCCTGAACAGCGCTGGATTCCAGTATTGGTCTCTATTTCTCCAGTATTACCCACCAGGAGCACAAAGGGCAGTTCAACACTATTCAACACTATTCAGATTAAATCCAGTTTACTGCATAGTAGTGTTTTCTACATTAGAAGAAAATTAATGTGAAGTCCAGACCGATCTTTTCTTTAAACTTCGGTATGGACCCATTTTGTGTTTGTAGTTCTTGTTGGGAGCAATACTAAATCATATAAGCCCCCTCACAAACTCAACGACGGACCAAAATACTACTAAAGGTGTACAAGTAACACAGTTTACAAGAGACTGACTTTTGTGTAGCAACAGGTTAAGTTCAGGCACAGGCCCAGGTCAAATGTCTGGGTTCTGTGAGCCAGTGGGTGCAGTATTTAACTGCGTGTTCACGCCAGAAGCCTTTTGGGATCCACGTGTCACTTGAATTCCAGATTAGTTAATTATTCACTTAACTGAACATATCTGACCCCTTTTTCTGAGGTGTTAATTAGCAACACGTTAAGGAGACCAACAACTCTGACCCTCAAGGATGGGACTGAAGGAACGCAGACATGAAAGGAAGAGTCCATGCAGGAGGTGTCTGCACTAACGGAGGGCTGTCCTTAGCGTCTGCTGTCCTGCGCCGATCAACCAGGAAACGGTCATCTCCTTCTCCGCGGCCTGAGAACAGCCTCAGGACATCACTGGTCATCCCCTCGGCTGACCTCGGCCTCTCACCCTGACCACTCTCCCTGTGCTGTTATTTACAGGAGATAATTAGCACTTTGAGAAAAGAGACTGTCTCTCACACAAGCTGGAATGCAGTTCTTCCCCAGTCTTTCTGGTCATGACTTTTTTTTTAAACAAAAGCTATCTTTTATTGTTTCGATTTAAGTCCAAATTCTCTCAAGTCAGCAGCTTTTTAAGCTTCCTCTCATTGTCCTAACACTGGCTTTCCAAACCTCCACGTATAGCTAAGAAATTCAAATATGATAAGAAAACGGCGCTGTGGCTTGTGGTGTAGTGTGCTGGTCTGCGGTCAGGCAGTAAGGGGCTGGATTCAAATCCAGAAACTCCAGACCCTTTTTTCATTATGCCAGCAGCCATATCACCCTGCAACTCACAACGGGCAACTCACTGAAGCTCAGCAGTGTGAGCCTGGTCAGTACCTGGATGGGAGACTCCTGGGAAAGCTAAGGCTGCTGCTGGAAGAGATATTAGAGGGGCCAGTAGGGGGCGCTCACACTGTGGTCTGTGTGGGTCCTAATGCCCCAGTATAGTGACGGGGACACTATACTGTAAAAAGGTGCCGTCCTTCGGATGAGACGAAAAACTGAGGTCCTGACTCTCTGTGGGCATTTCTCGAAAAGAGTAGGGGTGTTACCCCGGTGTCCTGGCCAAATTCCCCCCTGGCCTTTACCAATCATGGCCTCCTAATAATCCCCATCTCTGAACTGGCTTCATCACTCTGCTCTCCTCCCCACTGAGAGCTGGTGTGTGGGGAGAGGACTGGTGCATCATCCAGGTGGGGCTGCACACTGGTGGGGGTGGAGGGGATCCCCATTACCTGTAAAGTGCTTTGAATGGAGTGTCCAGAAAAGCGCTATATAAGTGTAAGCAAATATAAATTAATTATTATTAATTAACACTATACGCAGCAGTGATGGAGATGAGATTTCCATTCAACAGTTAAATACACTGTATTTAAAAGAACCACTAGAGGGCAGTGCTGTGTAAGCAGATATTTACATTGGCGAGGACGAAAATTCCATTTAAATAATACAATTATAATAAAACCCTCTATGGTCTTTAAACAGGAGGATCCTTTGTTGAAAATGCAGCAGAACACACCTGAGGGTGACCAGACTGAGGAACAGCAACACAGCAGCACATCCCTAGTTCTTCACAGTCCAGCACAGGCAGACCTTACAGTAGTTGCTAAACTCCAACAAAGAAATGCCTGAAAAAGAAAATTATGTTGTGTTATGCACAGAGCTCAAGTGATTAGAAATAATTTGTTAAGACGTTTCAGATAAGGCTCTCAGCTGCTTAGAAAGCAATGTTTTGCCTTTAGAAAGCAATTCCAGCAGCCCACTGAAGCCCAGCAGGTGTGAGCCTGGCCAGTACCTGGATGCGAGACTCCAGGAAAAAACTGAGGTTGCTGCTGGAAGAGGTGTAAGTGTGGCCAGTAGGGGGCGCTCATCCTGTGGTCTGTGTGGGGACACTATACTGTAAAAAGGAAGAGACGTAAAACCGAGGTCCTGATTCTCTGTGGGATTATAAATCCCAGTGTGTTTCTTCAAAAGAGTAGGGGTGTTACCCTGGTGTCCTGGCCAAATTTCCCATTGGCCTTTACCAGTCATGGCCTCCTAATAATCCCCATCTCTGAACTGGCTTCATCACTCTGCTCTCCTCCCCACTGAGAGCTGGTGTGTGGGGAGAGTACTGGAACACTATGGCTGCCGTCACATCATCCAGGTGGGGCTGCACACTGGTGGTGGTGGAGGGGATCCCCATTACCTGTAGAGAACTTTAAACTAGTCCACTACTATTAAAGCACTTTGAGTGGAGTGTCCAGAAAAGCGCTATAGAAGTGTATGAAATGATTATTAAAGCTGTTAACCTTTCCAAACAAATGACAAAACTAGTGTTGAAAAATGTCCTGATGACTTTTAAACCAACTGAGCCCTATGTGAGAACCTTTACAGAACACAGAACCTTTCCTTTCTCAGACAGACAGCCAGGATATACAGAAAGATGATTAAACTGCCTGATGGACGTTTGGACATATAGACAGATCACAGACAGATGGATGGCAGATACTGTAGATGGAAAGGCATGTTACAAACAGGTAGACAGATGGATAGAGAGATTACAGACAGATCGGTGAAAAATGTCCTGGTGTCTTTTAAGCAAACTGAGCCCCGTGTCCATCGCAGAACCTTCCTTTACTCGGACAGACACATGGACACAGACTGATGACGGACGGACGGACAGACAGGTGAACAGAAAGATCACAGACAGGCAGTTGTGTGTGGGCTGATGGGAGCCTTGATGCCTGTATAATTCTTGTCCCATCTGAGTCTCAGGGGTCCCGGACAGCAGGAATAAACGGCGCTGGAGGGGGGAGAGAGGGACGTGGGGAATTTTTCCTTACATTCCAGGATTGACAGGGAGTAACTACAGGACATGTAGCGGCTTTTTGTTTCTTGACAAATGTAGGCATTTGCCACAGTGTCAGCAGGAGCATAAATCACAGGAGATCAGGGGTCTAGTCATGTCATCCCCGAGTGAAAAGCTCCAGGTTTTAATTGCACACTGTGAGTCAGTGTAATGTTAGGCCTGGGGATTGGCGATGTCGGGCTGGCGCTGAGCACGAAGAGGACCTGGAAGGGCCTGCAGGAACGCTGAGCTCGCTCCGCGCTGACGGCAGGGCTTCTCGGGCTGGTCCCAGGCATTTCTCATTCAGCTGGAATGTGGTGTCTCACCCAACCCGGCGCAGGGCACTGGGAGAGGCACAGATTCCTGGCTCGGGAGAAAAAAAACAACCAGCTTTTCATTTTTCACAATAATAATAATACAACAAAACCTTATCTTGTATATCGCCTTTAAAGGTGGATTCTCAAAGCGCTTTACAGAACGAAAACAACAACAATACAAAATACTCGAGACATGAGAGGAGACAGTGGATGGGGATACTGAATACAGCAGGAGCAGAGGGGCAAAGAACAGAACCAGTCAAGTTAAGACTTATAACCAGTATGGCCCAGTACTTATAAAAAGAACGCACTATAATGTCTGGTAATGAACCTTTTGCAAACACCAGCCTAAACCATTTTGGGTGGATGGCATTGTGAGTGCAATGAAGTAGTTCAGGTGGGGAGCTGCGTCAGCATGCGTAGGCTGCAAAGGAACAAGTAATAGGTTTATTCCATGCTGAAAAGAATTCTTTCTTCTCTTTTCAGCATGGAATAAACCTATTACTAGTTCCTTTGTAAGTGCAATGCCTTGACTTTGACCCAGAACAGTAATGAAGGGGGTAATCTACAGTATATGGACAACCCCAATCCGTATTTTACCCCCAAAACAGACACAAAAGCTACCCTGTACCCTCCCAAACAATGCAATCGATAAGAAACTACTGTCTAAAACCATTAGCACTCTTAAATTCTATTCTGTGGGTGAAGTGCCTCTCTAGACTTACGAATAAGGATTTCCTTTCTGAATCCCTTCAGATCACTCACTGCACACCTTGTTCTTTGGTTCACAGTTTTTCCAGCATTCACACAGAAGTTTGACAACATTAATGTTGCTCCAGAGCGGGCTGCAAAATGTCGTTAACCCTTTCACACACGCATCCCGAAAACGAAACAGTCAGGGTCCCCGACCGTCCCGCACGCAGCTGGGTCACCGCCGTGCCGCTCCAGCCAACTCAATCGCGCCCTGGGCGAAAAGGCGACGCGGAGACCGCCTGAGGAGAGACACAAGCGATGCCCAGCTCGTTTCGCAACACGAACAACCGTGCGCCCTCCCCACGAGTTACAGGGCAGGGCGAGCGGCTCACCCCGGGCTGCATCGCCGCGGAGAGAGCGCGCAAACCCGCGAAAAGCTGCCATCGGAGGGGAAAGGCTGGAGCTCAGCCGGCGTCATCGTTTGTCATCCAGCGCCGATGATTAACAACCGATGTTTTGACACTCCGTTTTGAGTATTAAAATGTGAGCGCAGTATAACTAACGCTCCACGCCCCGGGGCGAATTTTTTATGGCCGGCGTGGTACTCGGTATAACTTAGTTCGCATGTAAGCGCAGATAATTCCCGGGTGATTTATGGGCCTGTGTGTCAGCATCACGTCGGGACTGTCGCGCACTTGTGTTGACAAACAGGGTGAAACCACAGCAACAACGTTTTTTTTCCCCCTGCTTGAGTTTATTTCGCTGTCATTATTCTTTCAGCTCCCTTTTAATCTCTTTGTGCATCGCCAGTTGATCGGGGCTGTCGCCGCACAAAGGAATCTGCCGGGACGAACGCTGACGGTTGTCTTGAGCTCAGAAGTGATGAGTAAAACATGCCTTCATTGTGACCTGAAGAAGGCTCCACGGCCGAAACGTTGTGTTCTCTTTCTTCTTTTTTTCAGCATGGAATAAACCTATTACTTGTTCATTGTGTTTGGCAACGCAAAAACCCAGTCCAGAAAAACGTGATCTGAGAGGAACGTCAGAGGTGACAAATTGGCCTTACCATAAAAAGTGTTGCAATTAAAAAAATCATTATCCTTTAACCAGTCTCTAAACAAAAACAGATAATGTGGAAAAACAACAGGTAACAGGTAATGTGCAAAACAAAAACAGTTGTGCAAAATCATACATCAACAGAACGAAATTAAGGATAGAAAATGGGGAGTGAACTTCTTGTCGTGTGAAGTACTGTAGAAGTAGATTTCAATGTGTTTTTGAGGTTTGATAAAGAGAGAAGATCGTATCTTCTCGTAGATCGTAGGCGAGAGAGGCTGGGAGTTTAATAGGTTGATAGTGCCGGGGTAAAAACTGTCTCTGAGTCTGGTAGTCCGGGCCCGAATGCCCCGGTACCATTTTCCAGATGGTAGAGGGTCATACAGTCTGTAGCTGGGGTGTGTGGGGTCTTTGATGATGCTTAGAGCTTTCCTCAAGCACCGTCTGTCATAAATGTCCTGTATAGATGGGAGTGTCATCATCCCGTCTGCATAAGATTATGATAAGAAGAATAATAATTAATAATAATAATTGCTTACACTTGTATAGCGCTTTTCTGGACACTCTGCTCAAAGAGTTTACAGGTAATGGGGATCCCCTCCACCTCCACCAGTGTGCAGCCCCACCTGGATGATGCACCAGTACTCTCCCCACACACCAGCTCTCAGTGGGGAAGAGAGCAGAGTGATGAAGCCAGTTCAGAGATGGGGATTATTAGGAGGCCATGATTGGTAAAGGCCAGGGGGGAATTTGGCCAGGACACCGGGGTAACACCCCTACTCTTTTCGAGAAACGCCCTGGGATTTTTAATGACCACAGAGAGTCAGGACCTCGGTTTTACATCTCATCCAAAGGACGGCGCCTGTTTACAATATAGTGTCCCCGTCACTATACTGGGGCATTAGGACCCACATGGACCGCAGGGTGAGCGCCCCCTATTGGCCCCACTAACACCTCTTCCAGCAGCAGCCTTAGTTTCTCCCAGGAGTCTCCCATCCAGGTACTGGCCAGGCTCACACCTGCTGAGCTTCAGTGGGCGGCCAGCTGGGAGTTATAGAGTGATATGGCTGCTGGCCAAGAGAGTGATGGCTAAGAAGAATGATGATGATGATGAAGCGGCAGAGGAAGAATTTCCTTCCAGTCCCTTCAGCAGTTCTGGAAGAGCGAGGTCTGTGGGTCACACAGGTACATACAGTGCGCGTAGTAACAGCGGTGTGAGTCAGCCCGTGAACTCTCTCTCCCACTCCTGTCTGACGGCTCTCTCCATGGGCTGGAAGAGCAGGGAGCAGACACCCCCAGCTCCGTGACTCAGCGGGGGGGGGGGATGGGGTGTCGCGCTGGGGGGCAGGGCGTGTGCCACAGGGGATCCTCCCCACCCAGGACGGGGCTCCGGCCCAGCAGATGACGGCATCGTGCTGGGACTCCGACTGCCAGAGGAGCTGCACTGCTGCCAAGTCAGTATGGGAATAAGGGAAAAACAAACTAGCTTGAACAAATTTGCTTATGGATTTACTGCCTCTTAGATTAATAGATTTATTAGAGTGACTGATATCCGCAGTTTATCTCTCCTTCTTTTTCACAATTCCTTAATCCCTTGTTTAAACAAATTGTAGCCACATGCAGCATGTTTTTCTGGAAATGCTGCTAGGATGTGGTTAATAAACAGCAAGCTTGCGTGTGTCTGCGGCTCTGAAATAAAATCCCGTTGCAGTTTAAGAGAAAAAGAAACAGATTGTGTGCTTGATGAAGTCTTCGTTCAGGGCTAAAGAAAATGCTCGTTTTCATAGTGCCACACCAGCCACTATCTGATGCAGCAGTTTCACACTGTAATTCAGTGAAGCAGGAAAATATGAAATACAATTTTAAAATGGAAAAGGGTGGTTTTCTCGCAAATAGCCCCATATGGGCACAGTAACATAGCAAACATTTAAAACGGTTAAAATCTGCATACAGTTGAAACAATCTTAAAACAATTGTATGTAGCAAAAGCGTTTTTCAGTTAAGGGACTGTTTAGGAAAGCTCAGTTGCACATTCCTGAAGGACATGGTTTTCACAAGGACTGGGGATACAGCCTCCTCCTTAGACACCGATCAGTGCGTCTAAGATACGAAGGGATGGTGCCAGACCCCAATCTTAAACAAGGTGGCTGAAGCAATCTGCACATGTCAAAAGCCACCATGGATGATACTGGATGGTGCAGGAAACTCTACCGCAGATAATACATTTAAATATTAAACCACTGCCTCTCCGCACTGATAACGCCCCCAACCACTAATCGACACTGTGAGGCTCTTGATATACCCCAGCATTCCATTCATCACACCCATGTAAGAATGTAACAGAACAAGTAATAGGTTTATTCCATGCTGAAAAAAACAAGAAAGAAAACACAAAGTTTCGGCCGTGGAGCCTTCTTCAGGTGTCACCTGAAGAAGGCACCTGAAGAAGGCTCCACGGCCGAAACGTGTTTTTTCTCTCCCTTTTTTTCAGCATGGAATAAACCTACTTGTTCCTTTGCAGCCTACACATGCTGACGCAGCTACCCACCTGAACATGTAAGAATGTGCCCTTTAAACCTTCACCAATAACTTAATTGACTCATTATCGCCCAGTGTTTCGATTTACAATAACAGAGCACTTTACTGGCCTCTAGTGGCAGATTAATAAACAGAGCCCTTAAAGAAAGGTCTGCCACAGGGGTACTGTGCTTGGCATCAGACAAACTGCCAGCAGCCAGCACGACAGTGCCAGCTGTAACAGCATGATGTTAACCTAGCGTGCTCTTTATAACACATATTTTCCACTTGGGACTGTGTAGGTTGTTGCTTGATTCATGGGTCCCTTGGTAACATTAGATCTATTTTCTCCTATTGTAAACATTTTAATAAGCACTCAATTTCTTTCCAGGGCATTTCATACCCGTTATTATCAATTGCCTACAGTTTGTCACTAATAGTAAGGCAGGTACAGTACTTCCCATTTTTGCTCAGAGTTTACAATACAAATGCATGACCATGTGCCTAAATGGATGATGCAAGAGTCATAAATTAAGTTACATACTGAATTAAAAAAAAAAATCTCAACAAACCATTGGGTCAATTAGAGAAAAAAAAACAGTTTCTGAGTAAATAAAATAAGTTGCATTAAAAGTTATATACATATAAGGTTCATAATATATATTGGTTATACAGGATATACAATATTGTACATTCCTCTGATTTTACAGGTTTTATAAATTCCTCCGTATGATTACTTAAATGTGGAGAAATTGTCACACAAATGTCATACACTGGAGGGGAAATGCTCTTTAATTGCTACCCACAGCGAGGTGTTAACAATTTTCTTTTCTTGGTAAAGCCCTTATTAACATACCACTGAAAGGCATGGGGTGCAGACTGGACTCTCAGACTCCTTGCTTACTTATTAGACTAACTACCCCGTGGAAATATGTATCTATAAAATATTGCACAGACCTCTAATAACAACCAGCTAACAACCACTCATTACTGGGCCTTGGGTTAGAGCTTTACAAATCTCTGCGAGGGTTGTTAAGAGGGTTGCACGGTCTTTAAAAATTGTTATTCCTTCACGGATGTCACTGACTGTGCAATAAAGGCCTTGATTTATTCATGGCGACTGATAATTACTACTGTCTTGTCAACTGTCAAAAGAATGGGCTAGAATGCTCCTAACTACACACTTTGAGCTTTCTATGCAAAGCCATAAATCTGCTGAAGCACAGCTATAAATCACCGGTCTCTCAAGTAGGCTGTCTGCACACTGGGCCCGATTACTCAATCCTGCGGTATGGACTTGTAATGCGAAATCCTTTCCATTATGAATTAATCTAGGAAGCTGCTCAGTATCAATGTGATAATTACAGGTGTGAGGTGTGACTGTGCTCGCTGGGTGATTTATACGTTTCCGATCTGGACGGTAGAGAGGGCTCACAGGACTGCTGCTCAGGTGCGCAGGGAGCAGGGTTCCTGTATTGGAGATAAAGAAGGGCAGATGAAGCCACGTCTCTCTGTGCAAAAACCACATGAAACATACAGTAGCAGCAATGTGCCAATTACGGCAGCATTACTGCACATTACACCGGTAGCACTCTCGTTTCCCTGAAGACGGTTGTAATTGCACAGCGTTAGCTGTTTCGGGAGATAAAGATAATTTGTAGCAGCGGCTACTGGAAATGTGGAGAGTCTTGTGCACAGGGTCCTAAGGCCTCCCTTCAGGAGCTCCCAAAGAAATCGATTCCTCCTATAAACAAGTGCCAAAGCGCGTTGTCTGAGGTTGTTCCCTCATGGCAGGGGTGGGACTCTTATTAAAGACAGTTTAAAACCCCAAGTGAGGTCCTGCTTGGATTGCTGCTTTGGCATGTTGATTGCATATTCATAAATGCTCACAGCTCCTAAAACGGTGCAGCTTTCAAAGTTACTTGTGTGCTGTTATGAGAAACAGAGTCAGAACATCAGAATGGCTACAAACAAGAGGTCAGTCCGCCCCTCATTCCTGTTGAGAACTCTGCAGACCCAGAGCACAAAATCATTGATACGGGCGAATCTTTCTTGAAAAACTGTAAAAAGTAACCATAGATATGAAAACGGTTCTTCTTAAGAGAAATATGAAAGTAATTATGTGAATATTGGTAATAATTAGTAAGCCCACCTGTATATCTTACATGTATATGTTTTTTATTCTTTGTTTTAATAGGTGGTTTTGGCTGTCATATGATTAAAATGAATGGTGATGACTTTATGTCTGTCTATAGTAAAAATACACATACGTGAGAATTGAATGCAAGATATCTATCTATAAGAACACGTCCACTAGTATGTTTTAGACACCTCTGTATCTTGTTGTTTTTGGGGGCGCAAATGGAAAGAAAGGGAACAAAATAAAAAAGTTGCAAAATGTACACACGTCAATGAGATAACTAAGATCTCACGCCGAGCGAAATCCCAAAGATACTGCTGGACCTCAGGACCAGAAAACCAGGGTGTGGAGCCCAAGCCACAGCCCCCACTTTCCCTGGGAGCGCCCAGCGCCCTCGGCCTGGCCCCCAGCGCTGGCTGAGGAATCCGGCTCTCCGGCAAGGGCCGCCAGTTCCCACGCTTGTAGCCCCAGTAGCACAACCTGCAATTACCTGGCCAGCAGACGGCGAGGGAGACAGTCGTAGCTCACCCGAGCCCCCCTCCCGAAGGAACGAAGTTTTCAGCACCCTCCATTACCCCTGCATTCCAGAGAGCTTCCCCGCGGCTGGGCCCCGCCCGGACTGGGGGAGGACACGGGCTCCGGGGTCAAGGTTATGGTCATCCACTGGTGCCCGCCTGGAACACAGGCATACCGGCTGCTGGAGTATTTTTATCAGTGAAGAATAAACAATAATAATAATAATAATTACTGGCGGTGCGATGGCTAAGGATCTGCGCCTGTGGCTGGAAGGTTGCCAGTTTGCATCCACTGGTGCCCACCTGGAACACAGGCATACCGGCTGCTGGAATATTTTTATTAGTGAAGAATAATAAATAAATAATGATAATAATAATCATTAACAGCGGTGCGGAGGCTAAGGATCCTACTCCGTTGGGCCCCTGAGCAAGGCCCTTCACCCCAACTGCTCCAGGGGCGCCGTATAAATGGCTGACCCTGCGCTCTGACCCCCAGCGTCTCTCCCTGTCTGTGTGTCTCATGGAGAGCAAGCTGGGATACGCGAAAAGACAAATTCCTAATGCAAGAACTTGTACATGGCCAAGAAAGTGATATGATAATAATAATAATTGATTTAAACTCGTTTGTCATCCCCAGGCACTAGTCTGCAGTGCCTGGGGATGACAGTCAGATGACAATAGTCTGCAGGGATCAGGGTGTCAGGAGCACATCTGAAGACAACAAGAAACATAAGGCAAAATGTAATAACTTTAATTTTTCTTAGACTTTTCACAGATCTCTGGGCCACTGTATTGTAAACGCCTCACCATATTTTTCCTCTGACATCAGCTTTAATGACATCAAGGTGCCCCAACGTGGCAGAGAGCCCAATCAAACTACGTCAGCAGTTTCCTGTGTAACTCCATTGTTAGGATTGTATGAGTTGGTCTTAATTTATACAAGTGGAATTAAGAAAAAAAAAACAACTCAGCAACCTTTTGCTTTTTGCATAGTTTGTTTCCTGCACAGGTAGGCGTAAAAGCTTCACAGAATGTGCAAAGCTACTCCACTGTTCACAGCAGCTGAAAGCCTTGAACGAGGGCACAATCAAGGAATATATCACTGGACCTCCCAAAGTTGGGATTTTGGAGTTTAACTCACAATAATAATTTAATGTTATGAGTAATACCTGCTTTTTTAAATGGTTTACTGTTAGGGTACACCACTGTAGCAAATTAAAATGACTTCTGTTTCCATTTCTTGTATTTCAAAGAAAATCTGAGATTCTATGAAATATACAGCATGTCTAAAATATGCCCTAAATTATGATACACTCACTGTTTGTGAACTTACAGCAATGAGACAAAAATGTTTTAAGAAAATTATGACATTAAATTTTAAGTGGAAAGTTTAGTTTAGAAAGAAAACTTTAAGTGGCCCCTCGCCAATATTTCTGTCTGCATTTTGCAGAGATGGTCTTCCATTAACTCAGGATGAACAGCCAGAATCAATTACTTTGGAGCTACAGGTCACCTGCTAACTGTTCACTGGCTGCATTAACCCTTCATGATCCTGATGTGGTGTGGGTGGGTCACATTTGAACTTTAAAACAGCTGCGTTAACCCTTGAAGAGAACGATTTGGAGAGGGCAGGTCGCATTTTCCAGTGTTGAGGTTCAGCCTTTGCTGCTGCTGAAGTGGCAGCAGTGTTAGTGTCCTGAATGAGGCCCAGCAGTGATTCTGTTTCTAACTGGGCCGGGATTACTGTGTTCAGGCTAGGCTAGCTAGGAACACAGCTGCTATGTGCAAGCAACTCTCTGGGAAAGATCTGCTTATTTAAAACTGCATTTATGCTGTCCCCCTCCTGCCCACGAGGCAACCCATAATTAGCATGCGAAGGTTATGGTTTGTACAACTAATTTCAAATTACAGAGTGAAAATGCTATGACGGAATGCAGGGACTAGTATATTTTACCCGACCTACAAATTATCTTCTAATTGCAGAACAAAAAGGAAGACTGATGTTGTAATGTTCTCCTAATATTCCACTGCGCTATTCTTCCAATAACAAAAACATCACGAAAGGCCTGACGTCGCTGATACATTTAAAACTTTTTAATCCTGTACAACAAGTAACGAGAAATTCAAACACACCATCATTTACTTGTCAGACTAGAGACATTCCAGCACCAATTACATCTTGTGAATTTTAATTGCTATGGTAATTGGAAAAACACCATGTTTTAAGAGCAAATTCTACAACAAACAAAAACAGTGGTTAGGCTACCTCGCATTTTAAGGCTTTAAATATCTTTTTTTCTTTCTCACTTCAGATTCAAGGGCAAAATGCTTTAGTACTGTCTCTCAGGCCAAATGTTTTTAAACACACAGTGAACAATTCCATACCCAGATGCTTTTATGATCATTCAAAATCACTGCTCTGCTGAAGGCTTTGCAGGGGTTCCTAACTACAGCCAATTAATACTAAGCACAACCCTGAACCTACAGCCACAGTGCACCCTTCTGCACAGGGGTGATGATCAGCGTCCCAGTGAGAGTACAGCCACTCGACTACAAAGATGATGAAGCTAAACCGTCAGAAAGAAAAGCAGAAATGCCTAGATTTCAGCGTGTTAACAAAAGGAGACAAACACAGTAACATAAGTACTTAAGTGCATTTAAACCCGAGAGCAGGAGGCTCTTCTTTACACAAAGGGTTGTGGGAGTCTGAAACAAGCTGCCCAACTATGCTGCTGAAGCCAGTACTTTGTGACCCTTACGTTCTTGAAGTGATGTTTATAGCCCTTTGCTGTGAACAGTGAACAAAAATTCAAAAAGACACTAAAGCTGAGAAAGGAGTAAGAATTCTGTTTGAAACAAGCACCATCTTTCACAGTTTCAGTTGCGGCAGAAGGAGATGGGAAGACCCCCGAGCTGGTGCTGCGGCCACATAAAGGTTCAATACAGGTAAACCTGAGCACAGCTGAAAAGTTATGCATGGCTTGTGCATGGCTTCCATGTCACATACGTGCTCGTGTCTTGAAGGCACACATTTCACTTCATGTTGCTTGCAGCCCCAAGCATTGCAAGCCCTTCTGCTAAGCTTCCCGCTGACTGCATGACCACCCCTGTCTGGATAAAAGCTTCAGCTGACCAATTCAATCTCCAGGAGGCGATTAGCATGGAATTTAGTCAAATGCAAGGAAATGTTGTTGGTTTTTTTTCCAGACAATTCCTCAGCAGCTCCGGGCTCCCTCGTGAGTCTTAATTGATTATATTCCAGGTATGATCTTCCCAATTGCAATGCCTGCAATGAACGCTGCAATTGCCTGGATGGTCAGCTGTGTGCTTTGTGTAATAAAAACGAAAGCAGTCTATTAACCAGGCAGGAAGCAATGTCCTCAATGGGAGATCCCTCTTTCTCCCTCCCGGGTAATAGCACCTCCACCTCTGATAAAATCAGGAGTATGCTATCCTGTCAGCCCACTCGAGATGTTGTGTCCAGGGCATTTTAGGCCTCATTGCAGCCCACAGAAAGGAGAGAACTGCACCCGCTATTCATATAATGGGACAACAATGGGCATGATTAGAGCACTGATTGTTAGATAATGGTTTAACATCAGCCCTTTGGATTGCAGGGTGCTCTGAAATGGCTTGAAGCCATGTTCTTTGGAGTGAAGCTGTAAATTCTATTTTAAACGTTCCCGAAAGCACTAATCCCCGATTTAATGACAGTGCCTTAGAAGAATGAGAAGAAAGAGAAGCTTTTCTGTTTTTTTTTTTTTAGTTCTTACACCTCCACTCCATCCGAACTCCCCTGACTTTCCATCGCCGTCTTCAGAGCCAGCGATGCCCTGCACTGGGAAGAGCGAAAACCGACAGGAAGAGAAACTACGGTACTGGCAAAACATTTTCGTTTTCCGCACGAGTTTGCGATCGCTGGTGCAGATTCCGCGCTGGAGTCCGAGTGGAGAAAGGGCCAGACTCGTGCACCGCAGGGAGAGCCGGGACAGCGGACACCAGCCCTGCCCGCTGCACTGAACGCAAAGAGCTTCACACACACAAAAAAAAACGGAGAAAAAGACGGGCAGGAAAATAAAAGATACCCCTCAGCCACAGGACGGGGGGGAAAAAAAAACCTGCGGAAGAATTTCCAAGGGGAAGAAAATGACAGATCTTAAAAAAAAAAAAGATAAGTGGCACCCTTTCGTGAACAGCCCTGGTCCCAGTAAATCACGCTCAGCCAGGTTCCTTTTATTTGGCCAGGATGGTAATCTATTAATTTGGACAAATGGTTCCGCTCACTTCAAACCAGCTCACATTCACAGGGAAAAAAAAAAATATTTAATGCACAGGGGTGATCACTTAAGCCAACAGCTATCGCAGGTGATAATTGTAAAATATTTCTGCTCCTTTTCCCCACCTTTGAAGTCTTGGCCCATGTCTGTTCTTGTCCCGAGGGAGATCTGAGCCTGATTTATGGTGCTGTTGCAACAACAGACACCCAAATTATCCTGTCCTTCAAAGCAGCTACAGGAGAGAAGTGATCTGCAAATAGGACGCTGCTAATTGCAGCTGTAGAGAAATCTATCGTCTAGATCATGCAAGATAAGTGTTCTTTTCCCCTCTTTGTATAAGGTGCATAAACACATTAATAAAACTTTGGTTATCTGATAAAGCTACAATTTGTCATGAGTCTCCCGAGTCCATTTTTCACAGGACTCCCACGATCAGCTCAGAAGACACTGATGCTGTCCAGAACTTTCGTAACAAAAGGAAGTGATGAGATTCGAGTTTCACTTTTTTTCTTTTCAACTGTGCTAATGGCTAGGAATCATAATCTTCTAAAATATTCGCCGTGCTTTTTAAATTGGGTGCAAGGTGTGTTTAAAGGTGAAATAAAACAAGCATGCTAGTTTTTGTTTGTGAAACCAGAGAACTGAAAAAATGTTTAATACGATAACTCCCACTTCAGATGACTTTCTGAAGTCAGTTTAAGGCAACTGGAAAGCACAGGAGTTTATGTGTTTCATTAACTCGGGTTTTGTGGATGCAGGTTCTGCACTTTGCAATAAGAAAAACCTTGATGATGGATGACAGGAGGGGACACAATAATATCCCTTTAAATATAGTACTGTATGTACCTATAAGAGCCTACAACTTCTATAATATATAGCCTATAATTTCTATAAGGTCTATAATAGGTAGGCAGGTCCGTTTCCAGGCCATCAAGGCCCATGGGGAATGGAGGGGAAGGGCCACTGTTTTTCTTGACCATCCGACACTGGAGGTGGAGGTGATGTGGTCAGCCTGTCACCCCCAGAAGGATTAACCCCCGGTACTCACTTGGAAAGCAGGCTGAGTGGACCTGGGAGTCATCCGGAAGGAATCAGAGCAAACTCCATCGCTTGCCCCTACCTGGGATTGAACCCGGGACCTTCCGGGCAGGAGCTAGACACCCCTGCTGTCTGAGCTACCACAGCTAGCTCTGGAAGGTCTATAATACCTTTTCAGATTTTTAAATCATATCATTTGTATGTAAAAAATGCAACCAATACAAGCTATATAGTGGCTTTCCATATAGTTGAAAAAGTGTATGCATACAAAATTAAACATAATCCTTATTTTTCTTAAGATTTGTCTTAATCCTTGCGTTTAAACTCCTCCATTTTCTGTACTCTAACAGCAGACATTTTTCAAGCTAATAACTGCCAATTAAGCTTAAGGTTACAGGTAATGTATTTCATGTCTCAGCCATTCTCCATTACACACATTCCAGAACAGAGGGGTTGCTCATAAAAGGTTAAATTTGGCACCCCGACTAATTTTTCTCCATTCAAGAGGCACTTTTATATTAATGGAGGTCTGATCAATGAGTATCTGCTAGGTATCTTGGATTGCTTTTTTAATATTTGCTAAAGTATTGCTTGGTCTTTTCCCTTGACATGAATGTCCAGTTAATAATATTGCAGCCAGTTTCACACCACAGTCATATTTCCCAACATATCACTCATGGCACCATATTTCAGCCCCACTGAAACCTCCAGGACCCTTTTCCACATGGGTGCGAGCAGAGCTGCGCGAATCACTCTTCATTCATGGCGTACTCACCTGAAATGAGATTTGCAAAACTGTACAGTGCCCTGAATTCATGTGTCGCAAAAAAAAAAAGTTTGGGGCGTGTCTGAAGAGTGAACTGATGTTCTCCCATGTTTGCCTGGAGGGCACTAATAAACACAGAGTACACCTTTCTTTATAGGCAATTGTACCATGTGGTACAATAGAGGCCAGCCTTAAAAAGCAGCTCACCTCTTAAAAGGAAGGAGAGGCGAGCACTCGGCGGTACAGGCACAGAAGAGAAGGCTCCTGACTGCTGGGAGCACATGATCCCAGAGAGCTGCTAACTGCAGGCGCAGGTCAAGAGGAAATCCCAGCCCAGTCCAGCCCAGTCCAGGAGAGAGGAGCGGCACCATGACCAGCCGGGCCAGCCTAACGGAGTCGGAGTTTTCCGAAGAGGAGCTGGAGGGGAGTCTCCTGGCCCGTGAGGGCGAGACCCCCGGGGGGGCGCCGGGGAAGCCGTCCCGGGACAGTGAGAGCTCCTCCAGCTGCCCCAGCGAGCCGGACGAAGCCAGGGCCAAGAAGAGGAGCCGGCCGGTGCGCTCCAAGGCCCGCCGGGTGGCCGCCAACGTGCGGGAGAGGAAGAGGATCCTGGACTACAACCAGGCCTTCAACGCCCTGCGCATGGCCCTCAAGCACGACCTGAACGGCAAGCGGCTCTCCAAGATCGCCACGCTGCGGCGGGCCATCAACCGCATCTCCGCGCTGTCCGTCTTCCTGCGCGCCCAGCCGGCCGCCGGCCGGCCCTGC